AAGTATCATACTACTAAATCTACAGACGTCTGTTTAAGAACCATCAAGTATCATACTACTAAATCTACAGAAGTCTGTTTAAGAACCATCAAGTATCATACTACTAAATCTACAGACGTCTGTTTAAGAACCATCAAGTATCATACTACTAAATCTACAGAAGTCTGTTTAAGAACCATCAAGTATCATACTACTCAATCTACAGAAGTCTGTTTAAGAACCATCAAGTATCATACTACTAAATCTACAGAATTCTGTTTAAGAACCATCAAGTCAATGTTCCAAATCTACAGATGACTGTTTAAGAACAGTGTATATATCATAATCTTCTACATTTATATAAATGTGTTTAAAAAGAGTCTTATGTCAAGTAACGTTTTGGTGTCATTTCACCACAAACACAGTGTTTTGTATGGGTAGTGTATGTGTAATCCACCTCCCCCCCAAAAAAAAACTTAATGTTAAACTCATGGAGACTTATTTATTACAAGTCCACATTTTGTTGTTGTTGTTGTTTTATTTCCCTAAAAATAAAAAAAATGTATATTTCAAAAATTAAGAAAGTTTGAGACTCAAAACAAGTCACTTAATAAAAACTTTATAAACCAGTTAGTGCTACTTGTAAATACCCTACAAAATTAATAAACTTATTAATATCCTATATTCCTTACCATTCAAATACCAGAAGTTTCCCAACACTTGAGAAATCTGTATATATGATCAGCTGATTACATTGTGACAAAGAATGTCCACAGACCGTGCATCAATCTAAAAATGTGGCATGTTTCATTAGGCTTAGTATGTAAGAAACACTACAGATTCTCACCTTCCAGACGCAGGGTTCACCGCAGGTTTCAAAAAGATATGTGACGATTCCTGTTCGAAAGGTCAAGGATGCCAAGGAAGCCATCTGGACAAGAAAGAGAGGGACACTGATGGTCACATGGTCATACATGTGTATAAAGACCATCTAGAAGTATTACTTGTATTTTTAATAACCATAAATTTTAATATAAAAAATCAAGAATTACCATTTTAATGATTGATTTCAAGACACTTATTCCAACAATGACACAAAGCACATTTCATTTGTTACACAAGCTTCACATTTAAGGAACACACCAGTCTATCTACTTTATCTACAAAGAAAAGGAACAAGCTCTACACACATACTACCATAAGATGGCCATTTTACCCAAAATAATGGGTTAAGGTACTCCTCAATTATTGTTGTGTTTCTGAGTTTTGAAGGAAACAAGAGATTTGTTCACTTTGGAATAAGATTGTCAATGAAGGAACAAAAGATCTGTTTCTTTTGGAAAAATATTATCAATAAGGGAACAAGAAATCCAATCACTTTTGACAGAACAAGAGACATGTTCTCTTCTGATGGAGGTTAACAATGATAAAACAAGAGATATGTTCTCTTCTAAAACCTATCTCTTGTTTTATCATTGTTAACCTCCACTCCAGCTGAAGAGAACATATCTCTTGTTTTATCATTGTTAACCTCCATCTGAAGAGTTAACAATGATAAAACAAGAGATATGTTCTCTTCAGCTGGAGTTTAACAATGATAAAACAAGAGATCTGTTCACCTTGGAAGAAGATTACTAATGAGAAAACAAGAGATCTGTTCATTTTGGAAGAAGAATACCAATGATAAAACATGAGATCTGTTCACTTTGGAAGAAGATTATCAGTGATAAAACAAGAGATCTGTTCATTTTGGAAGAAGATTATCAATGATAAAACATGAGATCTGTTCACTTTGAAAGAAAGATACCAATGATAAAACATGAGATCTGTTCACTTTGAAAGAAGATTATCAATGATAAAACATGAGATCTGTTCACTTTGGAAGAAGAATACCAATGACAAAACATGAGATCTGTTCACTTTGGAAGAAGATTATCAATGATAAAACAAGAGATCTGTTCACTTTGGAAGAAGTTTATCAATGACAAAACATGAGATCTGTTCACTTTGGAAGAAGATTATCAATGATAAAACAAGAGATCTGTTCACTTTGAAAGAAGAATACCAAAGAGGGTTTGTTTGTTGTTTACATATACCTACATAATAGGCTAGCTGTGCTGTGCCCGCCACAAGTATTAAAACCAAATTTTTAGCATTATAAGCCTTTAGACTTATCACTGAGCCACTGGGGTTATCAATTAAAATACAAAAGATATGATCACTTTGGCTGAAGATTGTTAATATTATTTCTCTTTTTAATATATATTTGTATGGAATAGAAAATCTATCTTCACATCGGTTTGAAGTTAGTTTAATTTTCATTAAAACCCACAGAAGGATCACTATACCAAGTCATGTTTAAAATAGTAGTATCTCTTATTCAGAATAGACTTTGGATAAGGAAGACAAGAAAGACCAGGCTTTAATGGAACTCATTGTTATAAAGTTTGAACAGCTTTTGAGTTAATAAAAAAACAGAACAGAAAAATACTGCTATCATATTCAGTGTCATGTAATTTGGAAAAAGTAGTCTTCTTATGAATATAATCCACTGTGGAAGCTGTATACAAAACCAAACAATCTCTATACAAATAAAAAAATACTGGAACATTACTATGCAGAAGCTGTACATAAAAACCAAACAGAATTTATACAAATATCAAACACTGGAAGGTTACTATGCAGAAGCTGTACACAAAACCAAGCAGATTTTATACGAATAACAAACATTAGAAGGTTACTCAGTACACAAAACCAGTTTACAAGTTCTGGGAATTATATTTTTGTTTAAGGAGAGAAAGTATTCTACACAGGCTGTTACTAACACACATGCTTACTACCATCATACTTTAACATTAGTGGAACAAACATACTAGATCACAGGTCAGTGAACTTTGCTTGGTCGTTAGGGGAAGAACCACTGATTCTGCCTGATGACCCGAGTAGTCTTCACTTCCCTTACGGACAAAAGAAAAACACAATAATAATAATAAATAAAATTAAAAGTTAAGAGGGAATTCCTTCCAATGAAGTTTTTGTAACCCGTTATAATTTACAAAAGACCATTAGTCTTACAAATACTATACCACAGTCCCATTTTGTAAACAAAAAAACAGTCCCTCTGTTGTCATATCCCTCTTTTACTTTTTGCCTGACTACTGTCCAGACACAGCTAGGATAGGTAATACTTTGAAGTGACATCAAAGTCTTCTGAAGACAAACTAATCTCTTCATGGCACTCAAACAAGTACCATCACCTAAGATCATTATTATCCCACTGAAGATTAGCTAAACTTCATACAAATGTTATTTCAGATCCTGTGTTGCCCCAAAAACTTTCATCGATCATGCGCAACTTGATATAGATGATCTAGCATTACTGGTTGGCATGACAATTTCCACTTTAACAAGCTTCTGCAAAGGATAGTGAGGTCAGTCTTTGACCACACATCTTGACAGTCTTTATACTAATCCTTTACTCTACATGGGCATCGGGTTCCATGACCAAGTTTAAATGTAACAAAGGCACAAAAGTCTTCTGGGATGGCATTAAAATATTTGAAGGGCATGTAATTGAATAAGATTATTTTAATTCAATGAAAATAGCTGTTGATATTGAGTAGTATGAACTTTGGGCTTTTGAGCTTTCATCATTTCCAAATTCTTGTTTATTATCTTGTAAATGGAAGGTGTGCCCAGCAGAAATATTTTGGGTGAGGTGGTTCTCTTTGGAGATAAGGGCACTTATTGCTCCAGGCTGGTAAGGAGATGTGGTTTTAGAGACCATGACTACAGTGTGCATTAAATTTTCTACTGTGGAAGTGTTTCAGCTTTTCTGAAAAAAGGTGCTGTTAACTACATATTACTTAACTAAAACATCAAGTTAGTATTCATAATCAAGTATATCAATTTCTCCATGAATGATTATTTAAGATACCAAGACATAATCCATTGTTTATTTGAGACATCAAGATATCATCCATGAATGTTTTTTTGTCATCATCATAGACAGCAGTACATCGATAATTCTACCGATGCTTAGCTGCCACACAATCATGAATTATTATTACAAGTTTT